AGTAATATAAATGCATGAAACTTCATAAATTATGTTTAATCAATATATTGGTCATCCCAGAATTTTCTCAGAATTTATTGAATGCAAAAAGTATTTTATGTGAATTATTGCCCTACTTTATTGCAATAATTATAGTAATTCAATAAAAATAAGTTATTTTCTGAAAATTTCCAGAACTTCTTATTTTATTGATGGGATTCTGAGAAAAATCAGGTTTATGCATAAAATGAGTTTTAGATATTTTGGTGGATTTAATTTGTTTCTTGTATGAATTTGAAACTTTTAACAACATACCTTGATGAATGCTTCAAGAGGGATGAAGATTTGAGTATAATAGATTGTTCTTGGCTGGAATATGAGTATTTCTTGGATGAATTTCGAGATTGAGAGTGAGAGAAAGAATAGAGAAGGTTTAAGTGGTGAAGAGAATAATGTGTTGGGAGAAAAAATGAAAGGAAAGTGGATGGGAGGTGTGAGTGGGAGACCATGGGAATAATCTTTTTGCTTTTGGTGGTCTTCATAATTTCCCACTAACACAAGCATCTTTTACATAATTAATATAAGAGTTTTATAAAATTTAATGTAAAGTTTATAAAAATAGAGTTTTATAAAATTTAATGTAAAGTTTATAAAAATGGAGTTTTATAAAGATGAGTTATTATTTGATTATAACAATCTACTTTGATTTGAAGTTTAATTATAGCATTCAAGTTTGATTCTTTTAAATTTAATTAGAGCATTATACTTTGATTTGATTTTAATATGGTATCATAATTTAATTTGATTATAGTTATAACGTTGTACTATACTATGTTGCTATTAACGTCAATTTATATCGTAGTGTATGAGTTTCGATCCTATTAGCGTCAAGTAATCTTGAGTAGGGTTTGAATGAGATTGCGAGAGGTTTCGTTTGTGATCTTTTTGAGTGTCCGGCTTCGCAACGCAAGGTCCATAGACCCCGTTAAGCCATGATTTAGTGTCCTACACAATCCCGATGATTGTGCAATAATGTTTTATCGCTTTGGTTCGTTGTTTAGCACTGTTAAGGCTAAGGAATATCAAACACATGAACTTTCCAAATGATGTTTTCTCATTAAAATAGCGAATTGTACAGTGATTACATAACGTAAACCCTAACATACAAGGGTTAATAGAGTTGACCGGTTTAACTTGTTGACTTTGTTTGACTTTGACTTGACCGAAATTTGATGGTTGTCACAGTGGTCTCTAAAGAAAGAAACTCCCTAGTCTGCTCATCTAGATGCTCGGCTCCCGAGCCTGATCCTGATCCCTCACCGGCGCCTGAACCGTCGGCTACTGGTCTAGGTCGCAAAAACACCATTCTGAAAACACATCATGACAACGTTAGAACACTGAAACATCTCAAGGGATCGCTACTACTACAAGATTCCCGGTCTCATCTCAACCTCCCTTGATTCGAGTACGGATCCTCTGCTTTCAGTAGTACGGGCCCATACTACCTTCCACATTTATCTGTACTTTCCTCAAGAAATGCCTTGACTCCACCAAGTCACTTCTACTACTACTGATCTCTGCTGCTCTTATCCCAGGCTCGCCCTAGGAAACTTCTGACTCATCCAAACCAGTCCTCAGCTGCTGAAAGTCTCTTCATAATGCCAATTAGCCACCACATGGATACCATCACATGCAACGAGGCTCAAATAATCCTTCGAGTAAGGGACTCATCCCTACAACGGTTAGGACTCAGACAAGAGCTACGCAATAGGGTCAAATCCAATCCTCTAAGATTATTCAACCCTGATTGCATGTGACTTAACGTATCCACCTAATAGCTAACTCCCATCACTCAAAGTCCCACAAAGCACAAAGCAAGCAGCATTCAGACAAAAGGGAAACTACTCAAGCAATCTATTCTCATAACAAGAAACTGTACTAGCATACAATGCTAAGCTCATACTATCAGACATAACCTAAACAGGCTATCCTACTACTGTTTACTCAATACTAGCATGCAATTCTCATAAAACTGAAACACATAAAGTAGGCACATAAGGCATCCTCCTAGATCCTTAGTCCTATACTAGCATGCTGTTCTACTGAGACTGAAGCTGAAGCTGAAACTGAAACTGATAATCATAACATAACTTGTATGGGTAATTTGGGAGTACTTACTTGAGCTCGGCTGATCGCATGCACCACACCCTTTTCTTTTTCCAAAGTTCCTTTTCTTTCTAAAAATTCTTTTCACCTTTCTAAAACTCTTTTCTTTTGAAAACATTTTACCACTTCCTTAGTTTGAGTTCAGACACACCCAAAAGTGTGCCCGAATCCCTCAAACCAAGGCTCTGATACCAACTTGAAACATCCCAAAATACGACCCAAAATTTTTTGTTTAATCATTACTAAAATCATTATATCAATACCATAAAATAAAACCCATACGTCAATATCTCAAAACCATAACAAGTATCACAAGAAAACTGTATCAAGAATGAATCAAAACATATCAATGAAAAGCTAAATCAACTCCCAGGACAAACTGAAGTTGTGGTGTGTGCGATGCCATCATCCTGAGCTCTTCCCTTTACTTGCGGAAGTACCTGAAACCAAAACTGAAACTGTAAGCACGAAGCTTAGTGAGCTCCCCCAAACTACCACATACCATACAATAACGTATAAACACATACTGGGCCTTGCCCACTTCATCGGACAAGAGTCCGGAAACTGCATCGGACCGAAGCACGGAACTAACCAGGGCCTTGCCTCTGCATTGGACCGAAGTCCGGAACTAACCAGGGCCTTGCCCTCTGCATCGAACAGAAGTCCGGAAACTGCATCGAACCGAAGTCCGGAACTGACTGGGACCTTGTCCCCTGCATCAGACCGAAGTCCGGAACTAACTGCATCGGACCGAAGTCCGGAAACTGTCTGACCATAACATAGCGTAGCATAAACATATCAACTAGCATGAACACATAAACTGCATACTGCATCGGGCCGTAGCCCGGAACACATAGCACATAAACCCTGTCTGAGCCACGAAGGCATCAAACATCCTAACTACTGCATCGGACCGAAGTCCGGAAACTACTGCTAGTTAAACGGGCCGGCATTGTGGCCTTAGACCCATTCCTACTGGAAGGAAACTCACCTTGTGATGCTGACGGCTGAACTCCTGAATGAGAAATCCCTGACTGCTGCTCCGGCTACTTCCCGACTATCAAGGGTAATAAAATACTAAATCAGAATAGGGATTCTCCTATGGGTAAAATGACCATTTTACCCCTGCTATGGCATGGGTCACAACATGGCCCAAACCCTCAATTCCTTCCAAGTCCATCCATGGCCCCACTATAGGTCCATTAATGGCCCAATTTTCTAAATTGGGCTTATGTCCTCGTATGGGCCCATAATCTAACTTCTGGAGATCCAACAGCAAGATAGGCTTTCCAAGCTTACTATTGGCCCATTAATGGCTCAATTTGCTCCATTGGGCCCAAAGCCCTTTATTGGGCCTTACTCAAGCCCAATACTAATCCTTGGCCCATAACAACTGAATTCTGATGGCCACTAAGGCCCAAAGACCCTAAGTCTAAAACTCAGCCCACACCGAGGCCCAAACGCTCGAAGCCCAAACTGGCAGCGTACGCGGGGCGTACAACAAGGTACGCTGAGCGTACTGGCTGCTGGCTTGTATGCGGCGCGTACCTCCTTGCACGCCCAGCGTACAGCCCTGTTAAGCCAAAAATCTCATTAAGTGCTTAATAATCCGAGTTAGAAGCTAAAATCTTAGATCCAGGTCTTATCCCACGTCTTTAAACCATAAAGTTGCTTACTTGATGGCTTACAAGACTCCCTTAAGGTCAAACTTCTAAAAACAACCATCTATTACCAAGAAGGTGGCTAGATCTCATGCATGGCTTAATGAAAGCCTCAAAAATCGAAACTTTACTGCTATGGGGACACTTTGAGCTTCAAGGATAGCAATCCCAAGCTCCAAAAACGAAGTTGCATGATAAAGGTTCTTCCTTTGGACTTAAAAGGTCCAAACTTCCAAAAACTCCTAGATCTAAGTTTACAAGAGGAAAGTTGGAAGCTTTATACCTCTTTTGAATGCTAAATGAAGGAATGATCCTAGATCCTTGAGCTCAAGGTACTCAAGTTCTCCTTCTTCCACTTCTCTTCTTCTTCTTCCCAACTTTTCTTTACAAAAATGAGCCCATAAGATCAACCACACACAAACAAGGAGAAAGGAATGAACTAGGGTTTTCTGGGGGTGAAGGATAAGTGAGGAGGCCAAATGGGAGGCTATAATGGGGTTTAAATACGTCTCAAACCCTAAAATTAGGGTTTCGCCACCTGGTCGGGTACGTTGGGTGTGCCTCTAGGTACGCTGCGCGTACGCCTCTCACAATCCGTGCAAACTAAAGGCACTATGCCCCGCGTACGACGGGTTACGCCCCGCGTACGGCTTATGGGCAACTTACATCTCGGCCCAAAAATCATGAAGGTCCAATCCAATCCAAGATGAAAATTACCAATCAAAGCCCACTAACATTCAAGAAATTAAATTAATTAATACCTCAGAAGACGATCGTTACATGGTGGGTTTTCTTCGGGTTTTCCGTCCAAATAATGAACATACAACATTTTATCAAAAGAAATACACATATAATATAACACACACACAACCACCCTTGTGGTGGTAGGCAGTGGTCAGAGGTGCTTGCCACCACCTCACGGTGGTGGTGGCTTCTCTTGATGGTGTCCGGCCAAACAAAACACACGCACACACACACACACACACACACTTCTTTTGTTTTCAAAATGAACCCACCCGCCCACCTGGTGGCGTACGGTGACGACAGCGACACGGGAAGGCGGGGAACAGTGGTGTTGACGGCGGCAACCACCATTGTTGGCCGCCATGGTGGTTCTTCACGACTTGCGTTCATCAGAAACATACACACCAACACGGCCACCTTGTAGCGACATAAGACAGTCGGAGGAGGACTTCACAATGACGTTTCAATGGCGAGGCAGTAAGCGGCGATGTAGTTGTAGAAGAAAGGTGGTGGCGATGGTTCCGGCTGAAACGACGTCATAGGTTGGTCCTCGACCTCGACCACAGTAGGAATGGCGACAATGAACATATCCCGGTGGTTTCCGGCTTTGACAGTGATGGCGACGGTTGGAGAGTCACGAATGACGGCCACCACGAAGCCACTTCTTCTCCGATCTTCAACTGATGCAACGCCCTTTCTCGGTTTCCCATCGGTCTTTGTTATTGCCGGTGATAAGAGCCATTCGGTGGTGCTAGGTGGTCGGAGCCGATAGCGACAGCTGGAATGAAGGAAGGAGGTTAGCGGCTGGAGGGGCTCCTTCGGATTTGGGTTATGGGACGGGTTATATATTCGACACCATTTGAAACTTCATGCCATGTTGACAACATTGGTCCTTCCCTTCTGAAATATTTTCAAATTAGCTCCAATATTTACCTATTATACCCCTGCTCCCATAATTTCTTTCATAATAAGTCCAACTGTTACCAAACAGCCCCTCCTCTACAAATTATTTTCAACTGAAATCCATATATTACCCTTCAGCCCCTTAGCCTCCAAAATCTCTTCAAATTAAGTCTCAATAATTTACCAAGCAATCCGTGCCTTCATAAATATTTACAAAACCAATTCGGAACTTACACTTTTAACCCCCAACTTCTAAAATTATGACAGTTAACTCATCGAAACCAACACCTTGCTAAATTATTATTGATTTTAGGGCTACTATTCATTCATTAATTTTTTATTTGTTTATTTGATAAATGAGATGTTACAGCCACGAGGACCACCAGTGTTACGTTTTGCAATGTTTTCCTAAAAATGAGGCTTTTTGTAAACCATATAGATCAATTTTGAAATTTTGTCTATCTAAAATGTATATAGACAAAATTACATAAATGGTCCATGTGGTTTTGCTGATGTTTCTATTTCTTGTGTGGTTCTTCCTTTGACCTTATATAAGAAGGCTTTTCTCTCCATGCTATCATCAACCTTAATATCCATTCTGTTTGGGACTCCGGTTGTCACCTATGATGTTAATGGCTTGGCGTTGGATGCAAGCCTTGTACTCATGATGAACTTATAGAACTTGTTGAGGGGTTAGAGAGGTGATCTTGATCTTTAGATTCTTTGCAATGTTTTTTTTGTTTATGTGTGTATTTATGTTTAGGCTGGATTTGCAATAAGGTTGATATTGAGATGAAGAAATAAAGAACCGTTTTGAGTTATAAATTATAGAGTAAATTACACGAATAGTCCCTATGGTTTGGGGTAATTTGCGTGCTTGGTCCCTAACTTATTTTTTTAACTCGGAAGGTCCCTATGGTTTGTTTTTGTTACGCGTTTGATCCCTAATGTTTATTTTTGTTACGCGTTTGGTCCATGTCTTATCTAAAAAGACTATTATTTAAAGAGGAAAAATAATGGGGTAGGTGAGGCAAGGTGAGGGGGTGGGATTAGGGGTGTGTTTATTTAAATAAATTAAAAAAATCAAGGGCATAATAGTCTTTTTAGGTAAGATAGGGACCAAGCGCGTAACAAAAACAAACAGTAGGGACCTTCCGAGTTAAAAAAATAAGTTAGAGACCAAATGCGCAAATTACCCTAAACCATAAGGACCATTCGTGTAATTTACTCCAAATTATATCAAGTTTAGAGTCTATATTCATTGCAGTTTCTTTTAATTTATTTATAAAACACATATTTTATCAAGTTTGGAGCTGTAGAGAATAATATGAGATAAAACAAAAACATATATTTTATCAGGTTTGAAGTTGTAGAGAATAATGAGAGATAAAACGAATATAAAAGTTTATCTGTTTTTCCAATGATTTCTCAAGTGTTCGTGTACATGGTGTGTATATGGTTGAAGAGTACGGTGGTGGTGGAAGGTGGTTGCAGCAGTGGACGATGGTGGAGGTGCTTTGGTTATTACGAAACATTTCTAATTCAATAAAAATATAAAAGATTAATACAAATTATAATCGAATAAAAAAGGTAACGATAAAGATATAAAAGTGGTTATGGACGAGCCAGTACAAAGAATAGAAACCATAGGAACTATCATTTAACAAAAAAAATGAAGATGAAAACAAAAAATATGTGAAACCACAAGGACATTTATGTAATTTTGTCATAAAAATAAGGTAACACCAAGCATTTTTTAACAAAAACCCACCAAAACCAACAAACCCCTATCTTATTTGTCTGATTAGAATTGTAATTTTTTTAGCTCACCAAATTTCTATTGGATTCATTAATTGACATCAAGAACTATCCAACTCGAAGCCGCCCATATCGAGAAAGATACAACAAAAGATAATTTTTCCTTCCCTTTTTCCTCCATTGTTGTCTGTTTCCTTTTAAAATTTTCTCCTTTTTAAAACCAAGCCTACACCATTAAATTTTCTGTGAAGAAGAAGAGGTCCAAGTTTAATGCTTCTGAGAAAACAAAGAAATTGATTCACACACACACGTGTGTGTGTATATATAGCGTGTGAAGAAGGCCACATGTTTGAGGTTTGTTTAAGAAAATGGATATGATGTATTACCCACTTGGGAGATGCTCTTATGAGGAATCCATGAAGGTTCTTGAAGCTGATATACAACATGCCAATGCTCTGTAAGCTATTGTTATCTCAGTTCCTAATTCGATTCTTGATGTGGGTTTTGATTTTTCTAATTTTCTTAAAAGGGGTTTTGTGTTTCTGTGTTTGTTTGTGACTATCAGTCATCTTTGCTAGCAACAAGTTCAGTAATTTGAATAGGTTCGTGGGTTTTAGTTCTTTTTTTTTTTTTTTTTTTTTTTTTTTTGCAAAAAGGGGTTTCTATGTTTCTGCTAGTCTGTATGATCATCAGTCATCTTTAGGTTCTAGGAACTGAAAATCTCGAAAATCTTTAATGTGATTCTGGATGTTTAAATGTTAGAATCTTTGAGGGATTTCGGACAAAAACTAAGCAATCAACAAAACGCTCTTGGGGATTTATTTCTTGCGAACTTAAACCTGTTTACGCAACTAATATAGAATCTTCATAGTTGTTTTCCGGAAGAAAAAAAAAATGGCATCGCTTCAGTTTCTGATTGTTTTTGTGTGTGGATTCATGTCGGATTTTCAGGGCAGCTGCAATACCTAGAGCCAACGATGGTGCACGATTTCAAATGAAACTAGTTTACAATGAATTGGCACCTCTTGTTATGTTCTTGCTACAATGGATTGATTCCTCTTGCACTTGCCTCTTGCCTAGATACTTGAATCTCGTTCATGTTCTAGTCTACAAGGTTGGTTCTTGAATCTTTTATGTGATTGGTTGTTCTTTGAATCTTGAATCTTGAATATTTATTTGCAGGTATATACAGATGGAAGACCAAAGATTTCTAGACGTGGAAGAAAGGCAACGATAAACGACTTCTATGGTTTGTGGCATTTCAATCGATTATATTCAAAGAATTTCAATATATATATTATATATATATATATATATATATATATATATATATATATATATATATATATATATATATATATATATATATATATTTTCTGTTCTGATTGAGACCGATGAATGCAGCTGTCATACTGCCATCTTTGAGAAGGCTACACTGCGATTTGGTGGATGATGGTGACTCTGCAGGAGTTTGCTTGAGGATGGAGACATCTGACCACAAGAAAACGAAAAACGAAGTTGGATTCTCGAATCTTGATTTAAAAAGAGAAGATGAATGCGGGATTTGCTTAGAACCTTGTACAAAAATCGTCTTGCCAAATTGCTGCCACGCAATGTGCATCAACTGTTATCGAGACTGGTATGCCATTGATATTTGAAAGTTAGGTCATGTTTGATGTTTGTGTGGATAAATGATGTTTAAAAAATATATATGAGGTGGTACTCTTTGGGAAATGGAAAGAAAAAGTAACTTAGGGCAATTTTGTAAAAAATTAGGACTTCTTTCGTAGTGTTTCACTATTAAGTCGTTCTTTATGCATTAAGTTAAAACACTCACCAAGTAAAAAGAAATAACACATTGGTCATTGCTAAATTGTTGTGTTGTTTGTGTGTTTAGGAATACGAGGTCGGCATCTTGTCCGTTTTGTCGAGGTAACTTAAAGAGAGTAAAATCACGGGATTTGTGGGTTTTGACGTGTGATGATGACGTTGTGGATGCGGATCTTGTTGTGGATGAGGATTTGATGCGTTTGTACCTCTATATCAATAATCTCCCGAAAGATAATCACGAAGCTATTTTCTTTATGTACTATGAATATCTAATATAATGTAAAAAAACACTAGTTCGTGTTACAGAATGTAAGAGAGAGACGAAAAATACACTGAGCATTAAAATGTATATAGAGTTTGGCAACAAGGAATTATTGAAAAAATATACATGAAGTGAAATACACCGACCGTTAAAATGCGCAATTGGTCAATTCTAGGGAAGTGTTTGTCCGTTTATGTTTGTGTGCAAGTTGAGTGTAACTATTTTAGGGCAAATTTGATATTTTGAAAACTTATAAAGGATAAAGATGATATAGAGATTAAACCGGACAAATACGATATTTTAAAAGAAAGCTATATATATATATGAAATTCTCGTTTTAATAATTATCAAAACCAACAAAACTCATTGTCCAAAAAATAACACAAAAAACAAATCGGATACTAATATATGTATCAGTAGCTCTTGTTCATATAAAAAATCAAAAAGACACACTCCTCGTTCATATAAAATATCAATGAGACACACTGACCATTTATATATGGAGATACAACCAGTAAATGGAAGATGCCTAAAGGTATGCCACATCATCTAAAAAAATCAAATCACTACTAATAGGAAATGATGATCGAGACTCACTAGAACTCACTATATCATAAGACAGGAGCCGTGTTCCTCTATAAGTTATGCGTGACTTGGGCTTTGGGCTTTGGACGTGAAAAAAAAACCCATTGTGTGGAGCCTAATAAGATATAAGAATCGACTCACCAAATCATATTACCCTTTTTTTATCGACAACTTTTTATATAATTAAAGATACTAGCCTAAAAAAACTTAAAGGGTTTAAACTTTAAAGGCGGAAATGGAAGTGCTCTCTCTTTTTTTTTTTTCTTTTTTTTTTTAGTTAGCAGGAATTGGCGTCTTTATAGATGCAAAATTGACCGATGAGTGATGTGTTATCTCGCAATGGATTGTTGGTGTAGAATCAAACTCCGCAATCTGCCGTCTTCGCCTTATCTCCACTCAGGTAAATTTAACTCTTCTAATTTCAATTTACACGATTCATGTCGCTGAACGCACCGATTCAATTCTTCTCATTTATATATTTCTGTAAATTTTCCAAAAAATCATTTATTCGTTAACAATTTCAATTGGGTTTTAGATTTCTTCTTGTTTTCCACTGAATTTTGATGAAGAATTGAAGTTAGAAACACACACACACACACACACTTTTTCAACACCTTTTGTGTTCTTCTCAACTTGATAGCAGGAGGAGGGGGGAAGTCATTACAGCTAACGGGTGGTCAAAATTTTGCTTCGGACAACCTTTTATTAGTTATAAGAAAAACTTGCAAGGAATTGTTGACATTTTCACTTGTGTTTTTATTAGGTACGAAGTATGAACTCCCTGTACCCACCAAATTATTTGCGGTATGTTTTTACAAATTTATTTCGCTGATTTCATACCTTCGACTTCTTCTGTCCCATGAAAATATTTGACTGTACACATAGTTTTATGTTGACTATCTGTCAAATGTCCATAGTGTACTCTTAGGCCGGATTTTTTTCATTGGATGTTATGAAGTAGGACAAGTTTTTTAGGACAATTTCTTATACAAAGGATGAATCTTTTTTTATACGAACACCTTTGACAACCCCTACATGCAGCTGACAATTGCCCTTGCGGCATGGCATGGCGCATGATGCCTTAACGATCACCACCTCCTAGCTAGAACCCACAATCACTTAATTTCCTCCTTCGGTTGATCAATCACAACACAACTCTCCCTTAAGTTTCCTCCTCGGATGACTCACAAGAACCTTACTCTGAGATCTCGAATGCATTTTATGGTATCTCCGAAACATCATTGATCTTGGTCTTCAACTCTATGCTTCCTACACCTACAAACTCATTACGTATTCCGATGCTGATTACCCTTCACGAGTAGATCCACATCAGGCTACCGGGTTCACCTTGACGACAACCTTATCTCTTGGTCCTCTAATGGACAACCCGCACTATCTCACTTCAGTGTTGAGTGTCAAAGCCAACTATTGCACAGTTGCCAAATGCAGTTTTGAAATTATCTTCTTGAATTTCACTCATCAATCATCAAAGCCATTATCGTGTACCACTGACAATGTGAGTGCGGTTTATCTTCCCATCAATCCAATTCAACAACTGACCAAACATATTGAAATTGACATTCATTTCGTTAGTGGCAAGTGGCATCCGGTTGACATTCGTGTTTTTCATTTTCCATTGCCGCTTCAATATGCAGATATCTTCACCAAAGACCTCTCTCTCTGCTATTCACCGATTTTTGGTCCATTTTGAAAGTTTGATCTTCTTCCCACAATCAAATTGCAGGAGAATATTAGATTTATTTTGTATTTGTTTCACTCGTATAGTTATTCCTTAGTCTTGTATAAATTGTGGCTTACCCGGCTTGCACTCTTGTTGTGTGTGTGTGTGTATATATATATAGGGCTGAGTTATTGTGAGAACTAAAATAAGCATGTGAACTTGCGAACTCATAATCAGCTCATCATTTTTCAAAACCAAAAACACCAATCTTCACCAAATGGTGCGTCTAAGCCATATCTAGGCTTGAAAAAAAGATTTGACAATCTTTTTATTCATTTTGGAAATTTGCATGTATGTACAATCAGCAGTCATAACTATTGATTGTGCTCATTAGCAGTCCATATGACTGCTGATTGTGCTTATCAACATGTTGGTTGTGCTAATTAGCAGTCCATATGACTGTTGATTGTGCTCATCAGTAGTCATATGACTGCTGATTGTGCTCATCGGCATTCGGCAGTCCATATGACTGCTAATTTTGCATAAGTCCATATTTCCAAAAAAACCCAAAGAAAAAAAATCGTCAATTTTTTTTTGAGCCTAGATATGGCTTAGATGCACCATTTGGCGAAGATTGGTGTTTTTGGTTTTGAAAATGATGAGTTGATTATGAGTTTGCAAGTTCATTAGTATATATATATATATATATATATATATATATATATATATATATATATATATATATAGAAATCAACCAAATAAAAAAAATGTTACAATTTTCATGGGACAGAGGGAGAATACGTTTCAATTTAAGCTAACGATTTGTTTCTTATTTCATGCCTTCCATTCACAGGGATTTCAAGCTAACGGAAGGGTTTATGCAAGTAAAAGCTCACCTAAAAGGTTAAGGAAAGCAAAAGAACAGCAAAAAATTGTGAACCCACAGCTAACTGAAGGTCCACCAGATGAACCCAATGGACCTGCAGATAAAAAACCTTCTCCAGTTAATTCTATTAATAATTTGGAGTCATCGGCTTCAATTGCTATTGCTTCTAGAAGTTCAGTTCTACAGGCATGCACCGTGACTTCTAGTTTAATAGCCTTTGGGGGCGTAATAATTCGACAGGTAAAATGTTAATTTTCACTCTCTTCAGTTCTTTATGCTTAATTTAATAAAACTCATGATTATATATATATATATATATATATATATATAATATATATATATATATATATATATATTATAATTTTAACATAATTAGCAACCATATATAATTATATATCAACATCTTGTTGTAATGTGCAGGGTTCTCATTTGGCATCGTCACAAGGATGGCCTATAGTTGATTGCTCTTCCGAAATATCATGTAATGTTTGGTTTACTTCATATATCATTTAACATTTTTAGTTTGTTTTAAAATATATCTGATTGTGGGCCCCTTCTACGGAGATGGGAATGGGACCCACAAAGCAGACAACTGATTACTCACAATCTTTTTTGTGTGTACAGTTAATTTTGAGATGTGGCATCTGCAATTGGTTGCGGGTTTAGTCATACTCATATCCTCTTCTCGGTTCTTACTACTGAGGACATGGTCTGATTTTGCTGAGTCTAGCGAGGCATCCAATCAACAGGTCTAAATGCACAAAATAAGAATCTATTTCTTGCATTTAACTCGTTTGTTTATTTATTTATTTATGGATCTAATCGTTAAATCAATGCAGGTTCTAACATCACTACAGCCACTAGATTATGCATTTGTGGCATTTCTTCCCGGCATTAGCGAGGTCAGAGTAGAGAAATTTGGTTGCTATTTTTTACACCATACTGTGGGGCCCATCCAAATATGTAAGTGGGATCCACAATCCCAGTAATATGATATAACAAAATAAATTTGATAATAATAAAACTAAAATATTTTAATTTCTTAGGAACTTTTTTTTCGAGGTGCATTGCTTCCGCTTTTAGGAACCAACTTCATCAGTGCCACAGCAGTTGCTGCTTTATTTGGGATTTTGCATTTGGGAAATGGTCGAAATTTTTCCTTTGCAATTTGGTACACACTTGTTCTTTTTTTTTTTTTTTTTAATTGAATTTTATTAATTTAAGTTTATAAATTTAATTTTTTGAAATTTAGGGCCACATTTGTTGGACTTGCTTATGGTTATGCCACGATCTTATCCTCCAGCCTTATTGTGCCCATGGCTTCTCATGCAATTAATAACTTGATAGGAGGTGTTATATGGCGCGTTTCACAACCGAATAATCAAAACAAAGAGGTATAAACACTTTTATATAAATTTTGACAAAAAAAAAAACAAATATGTAATTATCTGTTACGTTTCGATATATTTTATTAATAATATAAGACATGTTTATTGTTTTGAGTCTACTTGTAGATTTAGTTTTCTAAGATCAAGCACTACACAAAATACATTACTCGATTAGGGTTAGGTAATGCATAGGATTGGTTATTTTGAGGGTGGTACAAACTTTTAATACACAATGTACAAGTAATTATCATATCATTATGGGACCAAATACCAATTACTTATGGGACATTTGGTTAGTATGGTGCCACGATTTCTATTGATCAAGGTACAAACTATTAATGCACAAAGTACAAGTTATTATCATATCATTTTATGGGACCATTTACTTTTGGTTAGTATGGTGACACGATTTCTATTAAGCAAGAAGTTTTAATGAACGAAGTACAAGTTATTATATGATTATCACATTTTGGGACCATTATTTACTCATTCGGACGTATGGCCTAGATAGCATAAACTTATTTAATGAAACTTGAACATGAAAACAAAGGAAAATACATTCCATTTATGCCGAAATGTGTAAATGGTTGAGATTTTAGTTTTGTAATAATAATTAAGATTGATGTGAAGTCGAACCTTGTTTTGATGCATACTAAATTTATTTTAAATTATGTAGGATTGGATGTTATTTGTGAATATGGTTTTTGATTTATACTTTTGGATCTTTTTACAACAACCAAACTGATGGAGATAGGTAGATAAAGAACTTTTGAGTTTGTAGAACCACGAAATTTTTATGCAAATAATAAATGTAGCAAGTTTGGTATTCGTTGGGCTTCGCTCACACAAATTTTGATGAAAGAAAAGTTTAAAGTTAAAGGGGCGAGTATGGTTGTATTGTGTAAGATATTAAAATATTATGAGATTCATGAATAGAAAACTAAATGTAATTAACTATGGATGTATTTGATAAAACTATTTGTAAGTTGGTAATGGAAATTTGTAATTTTTATTTGTGTATGAATTTTGGCAAAAAATACTTAGAAGCTTTTAAAACATGTAAACGTACATAAAAAACTTATTGAAAACTAGAAGCTTTTAAAGGTTGCCTATTTGAATTAAATTTTTTTTTTTTGTTTTGGTTAAAAGCTAGAAGCTTTTAATACAGAACGAAAAATTTTCATTTTTTGACTTAAAATGAAAACTCCAAAACTAGGTGGTGAATCTAGGGTGTCAAAAAGTCCCGTGGGACCCTGAACCCATGGTCCCGATCCCATATGGGGATATTTGTTAAAAAAATCAGGGACGGGGACAGGGACAAAGTTAACTCTCGTTTTAATTTTAGGGGCGGGGGTAGGCAGTCCCGTCTCGAACCCTCATGAGGGCCCGTTAATATAGTATAGATATTTATATATATTAATTATATAAATATAATAAATATCAACAATGATTTTAAGCTTCTAAAAATCAACAAAAATCATGTTTTTAAGTTGATAGTGTAACGTTTTTGAGATGTGATAACATTTTTGTTTTTAACATGTAAAATTATGTTATAAATAACTATTTTTAACCCACAAAATAGGTTCTTTATGCCCAAAGAACAACTTCTTTTAGCCTAATAAAAAAATATCCTAAAATTGGAGCGGGAAACGGGGGCAGGGGCGGGGGAATGCAGAAATTTCGGAGGTGGGGCCGGAAGATGCAATCCTCATCCTCTTTGACCCAATTGACATCTCTAGGTGAATCCACCCTAAATTTTATATGATTCATTCAATTATTCGAGTGCCATAAATTGCAGTAAAGGATCGTTTAATATAATAGAAGCTACCCTTTTCCTATATAATGAACCTACTAAATAGTAATAAATAGGGCAACATGACATGCAATACTTTACCTAAGATAAAGGGCGACAATAAAGTAATTTAGATGGTCCATGCATGGTCACATGGTTCTACACTTCTACCCATTTTTGCTAACTATTAACTATGCAAGTTATTATTTTGTGGTGTTAATTATGAGAATCCCATGATGGAAGTTCTTATATCGTGGAATAAGTGCTAGTTCTTTTTTATTTCAAACACATAATATAATCACATATATAATTATTTCAACCAGTTAAAAGCTTTTGTAAATTTATTTCACAAAATTAAATGAGAAATTTTGCAAAATTGAAGGGGAATTCAAGCAATTTTGAAGAACTCTGAATTCACAAAACTAAATATCAAAATTATTATCACCCAAGTTAAATTCAAAACAATAATTATCAAGCTTATGTATAATAGAATAAAAAAGATCGAATATATATGTTTGACTTCAAAGAATAAATACCAAGATATAGAAGATTTCATATCATGAAATTTAAAGACATTTACAAAATATGTGGATAATCATGAAAAATATGATTTGGTTATTTTAGTGAATACACGATTATTTTTGTATTATAATATAATAAAATATATTTTATAATAGAATAAAAAAAGATCGAATATATATGTTTGACTTCAAAAAAAGTCAAAGTGCTGTGTTTGGAAGTACATATAACAGGGCACTTCTTGGTGGTGGTAGAGAATCATGTAAAGTCTAAACCTTTCCTACTCATATATCATGCAACTTTCATGGCTTCTCTTCTTTTCTGCACTTGGTTTCCTTTCTCTTTTCAAACTCATTTTCACTCTCTTCAAATGGGTTTTCATCACTTTCTTCCGACCACCCAAGAACCTCAAAAACTATGGTTCATGGGCTATCATCACCGGAGCCACCGACGGCATCGGCAAAGCCTTTTCCTTCCAACTAGCTCAAAATGGTCTTCACCTAATCTTGGTTAGTAGAAACCTATCCAAGCTTAAAGAAGTTTCTGATGAGATTGTATCAGTTCACCCAACCACCAAGATCAAGATTTTCACTGTCGATTTTTCTGGCGAGAATGTGGTGGCCGGAGTTAGGGAAATGCAGAAGGTGATTTCTAGTGAACAACTGGACGTGGGTGTTTTGGTGAACAATGTTGGGGTTACTTATCCCGCGGCTAGGTTTTTTCATGAGGTTGAAGAAGAAGTTTGGATGAATGTGATGAAAGTGAATGTGATAGCTACGACCTTGGTAACAAGAGCCGTGGTTGAAGGAATGGTTGAGAGGAAAAGAGGTGCCATTGTTAATATTGGTTCAGGTGCTGCCATTGTCGTACCTTCACATCCTCTCTATGCGATCTATGCTGCCAGCAAAGCGTAAGTTGATCTTTTATATATCTATTTCTTTCTTTTAATTCGATCCATGATTATCGCTTTCTGTTTTAAGATCAAATTAAAAACATATATGCAAGGTTTTGAACACCAGACCAGAGACCGAACCGACCGTCTTACTGGTTCGATGGTTTAGTTGGTCTAACCGGTTGGACTGGTCTGAAATGAAATACTGGATGATGTCATAATTACATTATTATTAATTTTAATTATATAAAAAATACAAAAAATGAATATATATATATATATATATATATATATATATGTATTATATATATATATATATATATATATATATATATATAATTCTCGGTTTTACCGGTTCAATCGGATTGGTTTTCACCGCTTTTTACCAGTTCACATGACGACTGGTTTTTTGGCCTCTAAGAAGTGGATCTCAGACCGGTTCCCGGTCGAACCGGCCTGTCGGTTTGGTTTTCAAAACATGGCATATATGGTTTAAATTTGAGTTGATAAATATGCACTAGGGATGTTTTACGACCAAAAGGAATGTATGGTTTTGAGTAATGAAAACAAGTTATTTACATAGACACAAGGTGAGAAATGAAAAAAGTCGGTAAAAAAAGGAATACGTGAAACCCAAATTAGGGTATATATTGTGACAATTTAAGATTCTTAGATCAAAACTTATTAACAAATATAAGATAAACAAAAACCGTATACGAACGAAGATTTTCATTGATGTGGTGGACAAGTTAGCAGGATCGCCCAACTTAGTTTAATGTGGAAGTTGGAGTCATGCATTCAAAAATTAAAATGGTGGGTCACTTGTAAAGTGACCATGGAATGGTGTTTGAGTTTGAGGGTTGCATGGGTCAAAATCAAATTCATAGTGATGGGCGAATGTAACCGAAGCATATGATAACACGGACCACATGCAAATTAAAACAAGGGTAGAATTGGAATAAACTTTGTATAAAAAATATTATCTAATAGATCGAGTTTTATATTAATGATATTAACTCGGTCGTTTTTATGTAATGATAGGTATGTTGATCAGCTTTCAAGGTCTTTATATGTGGAGTACAAGTCTCTTGGTATAGATGTTCAATGTCAAGTATGTACATATTTATATATAATTAATCTTTTTTCTTGTACACTCAGTTATCCTAATTTGATATCATTTGTGTATTTTCCTATAATGTAATGTTGTTCTAGGTGCCGTTATATGTATCTACAAACATGGCATCACAAGTTGCATCGGTTGAGAAGTCATCTTTGTTCATACCAACAGCTGACGAGTACGTGAAGGCTGCAATTAGACAAATAGGATACAAATCTCGTTGCACGCCATATTGGGCTCACTCGGTTCAATGGTTCTTCGCTTCGTTGGCTCTTGATTCAATTCTTGACACATGGCGCCTTTCCATTGGCATTCGACGTAGGGGACAATTGGCATAGGAATTATACATTGAATTTGTATCTCAATCACTTGTTTGGATATTGTGGTCCTTGTCATATTATTATAATTAAGGGATTTGTGGGAACTACATTCTGGAAGACTCTATTGTCTGAATCTTTCACAACGACCCAATGTTGATGTGAATGAATGAATTAAACTGGAATTCATAATATTTTAAAAGTTACAATATTGAATGAGTTGACTCAAGTTATATTATAAAACTAATAGGTAACATGTGTAAAAGTTAAAAAGTCTAGCTAAAGGAAAAATGTCAACGGTTTGGTTGGAGTTAGACAAATAATTTAAACGAGTTGAAAATTGCAACCTAAAATGTAATTTTTAATGCTTGTAAATTACTAAATCTTCTTGTCTGATAGGATCGAGAAGGAGAATGGGAAGGGAGATAGGCCATTGAGAGGCGATTTTTCCATTTAAGAAATTGATTCATATATATCCGACCGATATAACTATAATACAAGTTGGTTAACAATATTTTTTATATGGATAAATTATTTTCTTAAATATAAAAATCAACCTCCCAATTGCAAAACAACCAAACTCCATCTCTCTTCCCCTTATCCCTCTCAGATCGATCTCCCACATCAAAACCCTTAAGGTATATGTTAGCCTCAAACCCAGCCATTCAGACAAAAAGATTTAGTAATTTGCAAGCATCAACAATTATATTTCAGGTGGCCCAACTCTTGTAACATTTCAAATTCGGGCCATTTCTTTGAAAGATGGTATGGTAGCCCAACTCTTGAAACACAAAATCATTTCCCTGCCATATAATTTGCACTTATGTTTAACACAATGTTATATAATTAAGAAAAAAAAATTGTACTGTGACCAAATATAAAAAATATTGGTTTTTATTTACTCGTTAGGATTTGTCTAATTCCCACTCAATTTCTCATCCCTAATAAATTTGAAAATAATTTCCGATTTCTAAATGTTAATTATGAAACAAGTAGCTCAACTATACGATAGTTAGGTCACTTGCAAATTCTGTGGCTGAGAAATAGTTATGTACTTGAGGAGTCAGGCCACCATACCACGTTTCAAAGAAAAGGCCAGAATTTAAAATGTTACAACTTTGTAAATTATCTATCTATATTATAGATGAAAAAGTACACATTTGGGATACATATTTTTTGAACTTAGAAATAAGGGTAAATTACATTTATCGTATTTAGTAACTTTTATGTAAATGGTATAAGTTTTTTCAGGATCTAATGTTCATCTTATTTAAAAAAGTTTTTTTGTCACATAGAATGAACATTGTTATTTAGGCAGTCATACTCATATAGAATTATTTCTTAACCCTTCTATATATTATTATGAACAACTATTGTTATATTAGGGCCTCACCACCACATCCCATTTCCTCATCTGCGATGATACGATTAGGGGTGCAAACGAGATAAGCTACTCGTGAGCTACTCGGGATCGACTCGTTAAAAGCTCGACTCGAAACCGGTTTTAAACGAGTCCGAGCCGAGCTCGAGCTTAATATTAAGCTCGTTTATTAAACGAGCTCGAGCTCGAGCCTATGTCACTAAGCTCGATTAGGCTCGCGAGCCTAAACGAGTCTTTATATAATATAATTTATTATTATTTTCTTATATTAAAATAAAAACATATTTGAGAAATTATGGATTTCGGGTATTAGTAAACGAGCTTGAGCTGAGTTTAAGCTTATTTAGGCACATCAAACAACAAATGAGCCGAACCCGAGCCCGAGATGAGCTTGTATAATTTTTTACAAGCTCGAGCCGAGCTCAGTAAAAGAAAGCTCGAATCGAGCCGAGCTCGAGCTCGAGCCTCGTATAACTTAAATGAGCCCGAGCCGAACCTGGCTAGGCTCGGGCTCGGCTCGGCACGTTTACACCCCTAGATGCGATGATCCCCTTTGGTGACTCTCACGGAGACCCTCACGCATCACTGAACACCCCCATCCCCAAAACACACACACATTCACTCCCATAAATATTTGCAAACCCACCAAACCTCATCTCCATTTACATTCCCTTTCTTCTCGATCGATCTCCAATGAGCTTTCACCAAAACCTTACGGTAAATGTTGCCTCAAACCATCTATGCCATCTAGACAAGTTTTCAAGGGAGTAAAACACATTGATGAATCAAAACTTAAGTTAATGGAAATTGCACCTGTCACACCCCCTCCCCCTCCCCCCACTGACGGCGGAAACGTCGGGCAGTGAGACAACATCATGGATCACAGTCATTTGCATACATAAAATAAGGACACCAATAACATAACAGTAGAGATATTATTACTTAAATTGAATTACATTGATACTTGTTTAGCGCTACAATACTTTGATGCCTCAAACGCTAGACTGCTTAATATAATTGCTTCACAAATCTATAGGTGATTGTAACGACATGACTTTATTCCGTGAGCGTAAGCTTCCATATATTCTTTTCCTAAGAATACATGCGTCTTGAAAGTGTAACAGCCCAAAAACCAGAGAAAATTTTTCATTTTAATTTAAGGTTGCAATCATAATTTCAATACCAAAATCCAATACGTAATCATAAAAAGTCATCAGAGAGTTAATAACAGGAAATGCGGAAAATAGTGGAGAGTGAATGTTGCGCCACCAAGCCGAGTCGTTCCCCTTACAACCGGAAGTACCTCAAATCATAATACAAACTGTAAGCTAACGCTTAGTGAGTTTTCCCAAAATAAGACATATTAGTCATACCAATGGGCCCCCGCCCTGGGGCCTCGCCCTGGGGTATATTTCAACCCGACATATCATATTGGGCCCCGCCATGGGTGCGTTTCAACTCGATCACAACATGAAACACACAACAACTAACATATTGCATAAACAGATAATGAGTCGGCATTGGTGCCTTCGACCAGTAATACCGGGAAGAGACTCACATCGGTCTGCTGAAAATAATAACTGCTCAGCTACCAATCTCCAAAAATATCATACTGTATAATTATACAAATTACCATAATTAAAATTATAATACAAACCCAACCTGTCACACCCCTGAACCAGACGGCGGAAACGTCCGAGGGCTCGTGTGACTTAAATTGTAATATCATCACAATGAATATACATGAAACATAACATAAACATCACCATGCATTAATACATTACAACTGACATTGTTCACATCAAGTACATTGTCTAAATATTACATATCCATAGCATAAGTTTGTTTGAGAGTTTTCAAAACATAACATCCTAACACACTTGGTATTGTTCTTCAGTTTATCTGTTACCTGAGAATACAAGTTATTTTGAAAACGTCAACATATAGAATGTTGGTGAGTTCATAAGCAGGTTTGATAGGAAAATGTTTTGTGTAGTTTATAAAACCCAGAAAATCTGATATTTTCTGAAACGGCAATTATTTATACCAAAAGTGTGAAGATCCATAGGTAGATGCACGAATGATTTCAAATCGTGTATATATGAGAAGTTTTGCATTATAGTTATTGAAAGTACAAGTGAATAATGTTAATTTCCACGAAAACCCCGATGTTTTTCTATAAAATAGTATGATTGTTTCGTATTATTATATCGTCATAACGAATGAATATGATTTCCCATAATTACTTAGATGGTATTGGATTTTTATGTGAGTCGTTATAACCATGCATGATAATGACTAGTTCGTCTGTCTTGGCATTCTAGTGAACGCCGGAATTGATCTTAAAGATTTTGTCACCCTAGACTGGCCGAGTCTAACTGTAGCAAACAACTTAGGTGTGGGGGAGTCACCCCCGTATAGATCTATACACAAACTCTCGCTCTCCCTCCAGGAGACTTTGATTATAACTACAGACTACGACCGACACTTATTGGTGTCGCCCGTTATTACTCACTTAATCCAAATGAATTTGATTAACCTTGATTAACGACCTGATTTTTGTTTACTTGAATAGAAGGTAAGCCTAACAGACGAGGAGAAGAGGACCACGAGGTCCTACTAATCACGTATGATATTTAAGGCTGTCGAGTATACGAAGGACGCGTTGGCCTATTTCGCATATGATTTATTTGGACCTTACTAGCAATGCTAATGGGCCACTGAGGCCCAATAGCATGTAAAAGCCATTGAGGGTCCCTTAAGCATGTAATTAGGCCACAGGAGGCCCAAATAAACATGTATTAATTATGAGCCCAAAAGTCATGTTAATGGGTCACGAAGGCCCAATAAGCATGATTAGAATCTTTCAAGCCCAACAATTTGAATGTTTACTTGTTTTTTGTATAGTATAAATGTCGGGAATTTTGTTTGAACAATTGCTGAATCGCAAAGGAACGAAGTTTGTCGATTGTTTTATAACGATATTTAAATTTATGAAAATAAATATGTATATTTTTCATTCTAAATTCATAAGCTATAATTTGGTATTTTTGACCCAATATCTTAATAATAAAATAATTGACTCAAAAATATTGGTTTGACCTTTTCAGTCATTCTTTAATAAAAATGACAATTTTAGTCCCTTTTTTATAAAAAATATGACATTTTAGGTCCTTAAACTATCTTTCTTGACATTTTGGACCAAAGACTTATTTAAATAATTTTTTCAGCCCAATGTTTTCTTTTTGGCAGTTTCAGCCCCTTTAGTAAAAATATTTTCATTTATAACCCAAACTTTTTGCAACTTTTACAAATTTGACCCAAAATCCAAAAACTTTACATTTTTAATCCTTTTTGGCAAATAAGGTTATTTAACCCCTGAAATAGATTTATTTACCTTTCTACCCACTTTTTTGATAAATTTACCATTTCAGCCCCTTAAAACCATATTTTTTTGCAAGTTTGGGCCTATGGGCCGAAAAGCCCAAAATTTTAGCCCACTAGGCTACAATTTACATTTTTAGTCCTTTGAAAAGCATAATGTTCATAAAAACTTCTATTTTAACTGTTTTGACCCTTTTGATCATTGTAAAAGCCGTAAATGACAATTTTTCCCCAACTTTTGTTTATTAGACAAAAATAGTCCAAAAATGAGTTTTATGTTGTAACATGCTTATTATAATCTTAGATGATAGTTTTTCTTAACTTGTTAAGTGTAATACATCCTAGATCACATATTTTTCCTCCTTGAACTATAGATCTCGAAATATCTTTCATTTTTGGCACATATTTACCACATAAACAC